AGCCTTAAGAGTCTTCTGTGAGGGCCAGGGATTTAGCTCAGTGGTTCTGTGGCCTGCCTTGCAAGTGCAAGGACCGGAGTTCGATCCCTGGTACCAAAAAAAGAGCGTCTTCTGTGAGAACCAGAGTAGTGAACTGTGTCCAGTTGGCTGCTTTAATGTGTAAATAGTGATGTAACACAGGTGTGCTTGTGAGGCTAACAGTGCCAGCTGTCTTAAAGAAAGGTGATACACAGTGGAACTTCAGTTCATCAACTTAGTTCTCTCCATGACTCTGGTCACAAACCGAACTGGACGAGAACCCAATCACATGTCCCCATAAGCTCAACACCCACCCTAACCATTCGGCTTGTGACCAGAATCATGGAGAGAATTAGGTTCATGAGCCGAGGCACCAGTGTAGTTTATATCTAGATGTCCCCCCCAAGGCCTCATGCACTCATAGGCCTAGGATTAATCCACTGTTAAGTTTATAGCTAAAGGTGCTGTTAAGCAGGGGGTAGGGGAGGCTTGTGGGAAGAGGTGTGGTACTGGGAATGAGGCCCAGAAGGGTGTATCTCCTCCATGGCTCTTCCCTTTGTGCTCTATGGCCTGTCTGCTGTAAGATAAGCATCTACCCCCGGTCATACCCCTCTCTGCCATCTGGTTCTTCTTTGGAGCTGGATGACCATGGACTGAAACGCAAGCCAAAATAGACCTTTACTCCTTTACATTGTGAGTGTCAGATATTGTGTCCCAGCCATGAGAAAAGTAACTAAGACAGACTCTGGTGTTAGAAGTGGGATTGTTGCTGCAATGGTACCTGACCATGTGGTTCAGAACCCTTTAGAGCTGGTTTACAGGAGGAGTCTGGAAAAGTTTGGAGATACCACCTGGAGAAACAGCCTGAGAATGCTGTAAGCCAAGCTTGGTGGGAGATTCTGGTCAAAGCTCAGAAGACCAAAAGGCTGGTGTAAAGACAGACAGTAAACACCAGGCTCAGGAGGTTCGAGTTGGGAACAAGGACTTCATTGCCAGTTGCACTCCAAACCTTGCGTGTTATCCTCTTGCAAAAAATTTATCTACGTTTTGCTTGCATCCTAAGACTTTACAGGAGACTAAAATTAAGGATGGTGGACTAGTTAGTCTCTTATGGTTTATATCTAGATATCCCCCTAAAGCCTCATGTGCTCAGGGGTAAGGCTTTGGGGAAGTGATTGGATTGTGGGGATGTGATACTCATCAGTGGAGTATGTATTAGTCCACTGATGAGTTCACAGCTAAATATGATATTGGGAGATGAAACTTTGTTGGAAGAGGTGGGTCACTGGGGGTGTAACCTGGAAGAGTATATCTCCCTCCCACATCTCATGCTTCCTACCTGGCACACTTTGAGCAATCCTCTGCCATGCCTCTCTGCCTTGGAGCCAGCTGACTGTGGACAGAAACTTACACAAACTGTGAGGCAAGATAAGCCCTTCCTCCTTTAAGTTGTGAGTGTTGAGTACTATGCCTCAGCAAGAAAAGTAACTAAGTCTGATGGGAAATTTCAAGGCGGCCTAATGTTGAGGCTGCAGCGTGGATACTGTGGGGCTTTTAGCCAGGTTTGCACTGAAAATCAGGAGCAAAATGTTTTTCACTTTTGCTGGAAAGGAAATGCCTGGGAGGAAAGGCATATAAAGTAGTAGTGGAGGAGAGCTCAGTTGCTGAAAAGATTAACATAATAGGGAAGATGGCTTGAGGGCATCACAGGACTACAATGCCCCCACCCTTGCAGGCTCAAAATTGCAGAAGGGAAAGACCTTGCTTTGAGAGGAGAATCCCAGGGCACTCTACTCAAGAATGGTCATCTAGGAAATTGCCTTCTTGTTGTTCTGTTCACAGTGCTCAGCCACTCCAGGCGCTCAGAGGCCCCTCAACCACAATGCAAAAGGGTCGGGCTCCTTCTGGAGCTGACATATCTTGGTGTGATCCATGAGGGTGCTGCATGCAGAATACAAGAGCTATTTTGTTGTGGAGGCTTCTCCCCAGATTTCAGAAGACTGGGAGGCCAGGCAGTGTGCCCTCAGAGGGCAATGTGTAAGGTTGTCGGAGTAAAGCTGAAAGTGCAGTGGAGACCACAGAAAGTTGGAGGAGCCAGTAATGTGGAAATCTGAGGAAAGCCATAGGCAGTGAGCAAAGCCACCCAAGAGAGAAGTTATCAGGGCTCCAGCCACCAGCAATGCCATAGGCGCAGGTCTAGCCCAGGCCTTTGGAGTTCACATCTTGGGGCCATAACTTGCCCCAGGTGCTAGACTCGGAGCTCCAGGATTTACTTTTGCCCCTGGGATGTCGGTCTTGCCTTGATCCCATTGGTTTCTATCCCTCTATTTCTTCTTTGGGGAAGCCAGTGTCTGTTGGTCCCTGTGGGTGTGACCTGGCTCCTGCTCTGGCTGCTGCCTTGTGAACCGCTTCCTGACCACCATGAAGTGAGCACCCTTCCTCCACTCTGCCCTATTGCATGTCTTCCTGCCTCAGAGTCAGCTGACCGTGGACTGCCAGGCCTGGCTAACAGTTAATTTTTAATCAGAAAATAGACACATTTAAAAAGAAAATTGAGCTGGGAGCAGTAATGCACACCTGTAATCCCAGCACTTTGGGAGGCTGAGCCAGTAGGAGTACAAATTTGAGCCTAGCCGGGTAACTTAATAACTGAACAAAACCCTGTGTCAGAATTAAAGTAAAAAAAGGAATTTAAGGGCTGGGGATGTAGCTCCATGAGAAGACCCCAGGTTAAATCCCCAGTACCAAAAGAAAAAAAAGGGAAATTCAGTAGGTTTTTTCTTTTTTAAATAGAATTTAAATATTTAAAGAGATTGTAAGTTGCAGAGGCTCACCTGAAGTTGGTTAAATCTAGTAGATTTGAACAGAATAGCAAGATATTAGTTAAGCTTAAAAGCCCGAGGAAGGACTTGGGATTTGAATGTGAAATAGTAACTTTAATAAATCAAATATTTATTTTTCAAAGCAAACTAGCCTGTGAATAGTCTTTCCTGTGTACAAACTCATTTGTAATGTGCTTAAAAGCCTCTTTAAGGGGGCCAGGGATTTAGCTCAGTGGTTTTGCCGCCTGCTGCGCAAATGCAAAGACCCGAGTTCAATCCCCAGTACAAAAAAAAAAAACTCTTTAAGAAATAAATGAGGCATTAGTCAGTGATGGGCTGTTGGCTGTAAAAACTGGATGTGGTGTTATTCTCTTTTAAGAAAGTATACATTTTCAAAGTGAAATACAGTAATAGCATTGCTTTTAGGCATCTGGGAGGAATTTCGGTGATTTCTTATCATATGGTAAAACACAATTACTCGAAGTTGTTAAGTGGCTTCCAGTCTCGCTTTGCCACCCTTGTTGTGCCCAGATCGCGAGGTCCCCAACGACCACCAAGGACCCGATTCCGATGCAAACACACGAGGGTCGTTTATTCAGGCTCGAGCAGGGACTCCCATCCGACACCGACGCAGCGGGTCAGGATTGAGAGCCCCGACTCTAAAACACCAGGGGTTTTTATAGAGGTTACAGCAAGGCTCGGGGTTGCAAATCACACGATTGGCTAGCATTTAGCAAGTTTTGAAAGTTTAAACCTGATTGGCTGTGCCTTGAGCGCTGAACTGCAAACGGCTGCTCAAGTCATCGAAAAGAACATCTGGGATACTGGGGTATTGGGGTAACTACTGATTAGCTGTTGCAGGCCATCGAAAAGAGCATCTGGGACATTGAGGCAGCTACGGATTAGCTGTTGCTAGGCTAGTTGCTAGGGGACCGCTGAACACTATCACAGGCAGGTGGCCAAAGTACATCTTGTGGTTTTTCTTGGAACTAGAATTTATGTCCAGGCCACCTTACTCTAAGATGGGGCCAAATTTTAAAATGGAGTCACTCAGGCCTCACACCCTCAGTTAATATCTGAGATGAAGTAAGCTAAAGTCTATGCTGTTAAGCAGCCTCATCGCTCCGGGGACCAGTTAGCCAGCCAGACAGACGTATGCAGGCATGTGAACCCTTTGCTTTACATGCTCACTCAGTCCAGAGTGGTTTCCATATCTCGCATCTGCTTCTACTCTTAGAGGGTGGCCAAATGCTGTTAATCTTCTGGTCTAACCTGCATTTCCAGTGTTCTGGCAAACATTTGCTGGTCTTCTGTAGGGAACAGGGGAAGGGGACGTTACCAGAACCTCTGCAGTAAGTCCTAGGCTCCTGCGAACCACGGCAGCACACGGCGAATTACAGGAAAGGTAGAAAAATGAAAAGAAGCTGAGCTTTGGGTCTGATCAGTGCTGCTCTGGGCAGCAAAGACAAAGCCCCCTCGCTTGCAGCACTTTATTCAGTACATCAGGAGAAACAGATGTAACAAGTGAAATGCAGAGTTCCGTACTTCACTTTGGGATGAACAAGGTGTAAAAAGACTGGGGGGCCAGAGGAAATCGAAGAACAATGAGGAACTATGCAGATGAAGATTTGGTTCCTCCCTGGCGTTTCCCTCAGGTGTGGTCTTGTCCTGAAGCATTACTGCATCCGGGGATCACTGAGGTCTCAATTGTGACCCGAGGCCAAAATGCAATTATGTCTGGAATGTCGTAGCTGGCCTGTACGCAGGAGAACTAGGCCGGCTCAAATGATTTTTCCCTAGGATGATGTAGCATTGCTCCCAACAGTCTTCGATTTCTTAAAAACACAAAATCACTGTGCTCGTTCATTCAAAGTTTTTTGAGCTTGTTGCTTTCATCCTGTGATTTCTGTCTGGTTCTTTGAACTTGGCTGGGTCTTTTGTTTGTTTCTTTACCATAAAGACTTTTGTAGTGATTATGTGGCCTGGACTATGTGTTCATATCATACCAATTCCTGCTGTGCTGCTACCAAACGTACAATATTGACATTTCCTGTTTCAGATTAAAGTAATGGGAACAAATGATTCAAAAATTAACAGTCTCGGCTGTGTTTGACTTTTTGAAATGATGCCTATTTTGAGGTATGTGTTTTTCTTTTTCAGTGTCGTTCTTCCACTTCCTCAGAATGTAAAGGATTATTTGCTAGATGATGGAACTCTGGTGGTTTCAGGAAGGTAAAGTATATCAGAAAAAAGATTTCTTTAAACTTTATCGTAAAGAATGCTATAGTGAGTAAATCTCAGCATTTACCATATAAAATGAGTAAATTAGCTTGCGCATCATTCCCTCAGTCATTTGGGTCTTTTTTCTCGTCTTAGCTGAAATTATGCCCTGATCTTTATCCTATATTCCTTATCAGTGTTCAGTTAATATTTTTACAATTTAGCCCTTCTCCCTCTTAAAATAACTAGTTGTGAAATTGCATGGTTCCTTTCATTTCTGCTTTAGAGAGCAGCTATACTGATACCTGTACCTTCTGAAGGTAGCAGGATGAGGGATAGGGCACACTGTAACCCTTTGAGATCCTCCAGTTGTTAAGGTAACAGTTCAGGGTCCATTGCAAACAGGAAGCTTCACTAGGGTTTATTGTTTAAGTCCTTGACATTTTGTTCCCCGCAGTTGATCCACCGTGGCTCCACCTCTCCCTCCTAAAAGCTGTTCAGTTATTTCCCCTATTTCTAGGGTAAAGGGAAAGCATTATGTGTGTCTTTTTAGTGGAAACTTGAGAAAGTTTTAAAATCATTGGTTTGTTGCTGTTGTTTGGGAGGGAACCAGTCCAGGGCCTTACACATACAAGACAAGTGCTCTACCGCTGACCTACAGCCCCAGCCCCATAGAACTTGGGAATTCCTAATTCCATTCAGGCCTCTGCTCCGAAGCCACATCGGCTAAATGTCTGTTTCCACCTGGCACAATTTTCTTACTTGTTCTATTTGAATGCAGCTGCATGAGAACAGGGACTCGGTCGCTGTTTTCACCCCAGCTGTTGGAACAGCACCTGATACATGAGATGTGCTTGGTGAACACCGTTGGATGCATGAACCTTAGACACGTGATTAGAGTTGTTTTCGACGACATTAACTTGATCCCATATTTTTGTCCAGTAGATTTTTAGTGTAGTTTTCTGGCTTCTATTTCTGGTTTGGGGCATTCATAGCCCTTTAATCTAAAAAATCATTAATGTAGAGCCTTATCGGTCTGGAATAATTGGGGAGATAACAACATGGTAGGAGATGTGGATAAGGCTCAAGCTGAGACACTTTCAGATTAATTTTATTTTCAAATATGGCATTTATAATGACCAGACATAGCTGAAAATGCAGTGTAAGTAAAATATTAGAAAATCTTGATAGACTTCAGTACTGTAATGTGGCTGAGCCCAGGTCCTGAGCCCTCTGTGGGGCACCATCCTGAGCCGTCCCACCTGGACGGCCTTGTTCTCCTTGACTTGGGGCGAATGAGGGTGAGTGACAGAGACACCGAGTCAGTTTAACCTGCGGGCAGCCAGGGGGCTCTCGCCTCTGAGTAGGGAGAGGAGGTGCCTCCTAGGTCTGGCTCATCTTGTTTTTATTCACAAGCAGTCAGAGTAACACAAGATTCATCTGCTTTCCAGTATCCGGCAGAACATTCTCAGGTATACAACTTGACCTGAGCTGGCTTAAGTTCTCCTTAGACCCGTGACACGCAGTCACCCGAGTGCCTCCTTTCTCCTTTGTGCTCACAGAGATGACCGTGTAGACATCGATTCTCCTCTGGTCTCTGACACGATAAACATCAGAAGGCCACATGTTGATTTTTACTGGCCAGATGTTGCAGGAACCTCTAGCTTAGGCAAACACTGTTAAGTACTGCTGGAGCTGGAGTTATAAACTCAGTGGTGGAGCACTTGCCTAGCAGGCGTGAGGCTGTGGGTCTGATGCCCAGCACCACAAACAGTAACAGCAAAGTTACAGTACCAGCATTGCAGCAGCACACAGTGCCGTGCTGTGCTGTACAGCCATGCACACATCACACAGGGACCTGCCCTTTGCGGTTCACGGTTCAGCTTCGTGTTTTGTGATAGTGAAAACTGCATAGTGCTGGTTCTTTAGTCAGATTGCCTAGGTTCAGATCATATCTTTGCTGTTTTGTAGCTCACTGTGTCTCAGTTTCCTTGACTGTAAACTGGGCAGATGATAAGGTAGAACTTACCTCTTGGGTTGTTGCAAGAATAAAAAGCAATCATGTGTAAAATGTCCAGTCTAATCCCTAGTACATTGTACATTTCTGGACAACTTAGTGACTTAGTGAGACCCTGTCTCAAAAAAAAAGAAAAAGGGTTGGGGATGTATCTCAGTGCAAAAGCTCTGGGTTCAACCCCCAGTACCTGGGGATAAATAAAGGAAAAGAGGTGCCGGGGATTTAGCTCAGTGGTGCTGCCACCTGGCTCCAAGTGCAAGGTCCTGAGTTCCATCCCTGGTACCAAAAAAAAAGGAAAAGAAAGAAATGCTAACTGCTCTCATCATTACTAATCTTAGTTGGTATAAGCACTAAATCATGTATCAGTGCAGAATTGAGCTAGACTCTCTGAAGAAGATAGGGCGGTCACTGGCTCGAAGTTGCTAAGGAATGACGGGGAGAGTCAGGGAGTGTCCAAAAAGCTTTTGAGGCTCTGAGAGGTGAAGTTGGGAGGGAAGAATCTTGCAGGCCGAGGGAACAGCATGGACAGGGACTCTGAGGCATGGAAGATCTTGGTGTTTCAGAACCTAGGGGAGTGTCATGCGGCTTGAGCAGAGCAGGAGCTCTCGGCAAACAGCAGCACAACTGAGACCTCTAAAACCGTCTTGGTGCATCCACAGCCCGTGGTCTTGTCTACCAGCTCTGTCAAGATGTAACACAGAAAATACGGATTCAGTCCTCAGTATTTAGAGGGTACCTTAGAAAGCCAAGCCTAATAAGACTGCAGATTAACACTAGTGTAGTGTCTGGTTTTTAGTGCTGTGGATCTAGAAAGAGTTCTTTAGGATTGCAAAGTGTTGACTTTAAGTTTGGGGCACTGACACACATTAACTGAAGTCACAACAGATTAATCAGTAAGCCAGAGTGTGGAGTTCTCAATTTAAAGAGGAAAGCGTGTCGTCCCAGTGATTGTAACTACTGGAAGAACGGAGCAGGTAGTCTGAGCCAAACACTTAAGAACAGAATCACTCTGACTGCACGTATCCTAACACTGTGCTTATACCACTGGTTCTTAATCTTGTCTTTATCTTCAGGATGATTTCTTGATTTTCTATCATGATCTTTGGAGATTTAAGTTTCTCATACCTTTATCTCTCATCATGTTTGGTTAAATCAGTCATCATGGTTTGCGGTATTACTTTGTTAGTGTTGACTACTGAGCCATGATACTATGATTACCTTATTTGAAAAGAGCTTTTCTTTGGAACTAATAATATTTTAAATTTTTGCTTAATTTTCTGTATGTCTATTAAAAATAGTTTTGCAAATATTCCAATAGACAAAAGTAGCCAATTAGTTATTTTTCTAAGTTTCTGAGTTCAGTTACAAATCTGACAGTTACATTTTTCCTTTTCTGGATATGTTTGTTAGCAAGCATTCACCTTCCTGTTGCAGTTTAAGCTGGCAGTCCTGCTTGTCTGATATGTTGGATTTTCTGGATTTTTCTTTGGAAACCTTATGTTTTGTTTCTCTTGGTTTACTCATTTTACTGAAGCAAATGCCCTAGAATGCATAGGAGGAAATGCTTTTGAGTCTTTGCATGTCTAAAGATGTTTGTACTCTTCCCTAATACTTGATTTTGGTGGTTGTGGGTTTTAGCTTAATGTGGGATTCTAGGCAGAAAACTGTCCCCTGGTTTTGAAGGCATAGCCCACTATCTTCCAGGGTCTTCTGAGGTCCCATGACATTCTGATTTGTGTTCCTTTTTAAAAAAAACTTATTTCCTTTTTTTTTTTTTTAAAGAGGGTCTTGCTGTGTAGTTCAGACTGGCCTTGAACTCACTGTACAGTCCAGGCTGGCCTTGAACTCATGGTGAGATCCTCCTGCCACAGCCTCCTGAGTGGGGGGATTACAGGCGTGCGCCACCATGCCCAGTACACTCCTGTTCTGTCTCTCTTTCAGTACTGGGGAATGAATCCAGGGCATTCACACTGAGCTACATCCCCAGCCCTAACTTTTTAGTTTTGAGGCAGGCTCTTGCTTCATTGCCCCAGCTGGGCTTGAACTTGTGACCCTCCTGCCTCAGCCTCTCAGAGTGCTGGGACCACAGATGTGCACCGCCTTGCCCAGCTGTGACTTGTTTTTCTTTATGAATATTCTTAGGGTTCCCTCTTTCATATTTTGTATTTCTTGGTAGTTGTCTAAATCACGTGTTACTATGGTATAACACACCGCAGAGTGGCTTGAAGCAGTAACCATTTTATTTGTCAGTGATACCTCTGGTGTTGGGAGACATTTTTCCTTTGGTCTCTGTGGGTTTCTCACATTACTTCACATCCTGCAAGAAGAGATGTTGCCATGGGCCGGGGATTTAGCTCCGTTGTTCTGCCATCAGCCTCGTAAGCACAAGGTCCTGAGTTCAATCTCCAGTACCAAACAAAAAGAAGAGATGTTGCCAGCTTCTGCTGTTGACATCTTGTCAAGGATGTTTGTATAGCAAACAGACTAAAAACGGTAGAGACACCTTCCTTGGGTCAAGAATTGAACAGGCTCACTTGCATTCCACTGTGGGAGACAGGATTCCCTAAGCCTGGGGGATTCCCGCCCTGCATGACCAGAGAGAACTGGTGTACAGCGGAGGTCGTGCCTCATGCTGCACTGCGTGAGTAACAGTGCCCTTTGTTTCTGACCCAGCGGCCTTGTGTTTTCCACGTGTCCAAGGCGCTGTGGCAGGCAGGCCCCCGTGTCAGCTGCCAGTAGAGTGAGCGCTCCCTCGGATCCCAGCAGTTCTCCAGCCAGCGTGTCTTCTGCTGCTCCTGCTAAAGGCACGTGGCCGTAGCCATCTGCACCGAGCCAATTTGCCTGGAGATGACCTCCCTGGCTTGTTGCTGGGTCCCTTCCGGAGGGGCCGCGCCCTCATAAAGGCTGGCCCCTGCTTCTTGGGCAGTGGCCGCATTCCCACAGGGTGAGATTGTAAGCCCTGGGGATGTGGACCCTCAGTTCACAGGTCAGGAAGTCTTGAAGCCAGGCTAACCTCCATGGGTGAGGAGAGGAACGCCGTTTATCTATGGGAGAGTGGCGAAGGGCCGCGCACAGAGGTTACGGTGGGGTCGCCGTGGCTCTTTGTGAGTCTGAGGTGTTTTTCTTCCCTTCCAGTTCCCATGCTGTGTTCTCAGTAAGCCCCTTCTAAAGACACATTTTCCACTTTGGAGAAATTAAAAACCATTTGATAATTTGGAACCCCCATTGTTTAGGTGATAGAGCTGTTTGGCTAATTTTCTGAGTTTTATTTTCTCTATTGTCTATCTCTGTCTTTTAAAATTTTCCTTTCTGGGTGGTTTTCTTGATTTTTTTCATTTTAGCCGTTGAATTCTGTTTCAACAAGTTCGGTCTTTGTTGTGTCCTGCGTGTCTTGGTCTCTGAGGGTGTGAGTGAGGCGGATTCTTCCCTGGGGTGTGCAGAGCCAGGGAGGCGCCCCTTGTGGGCCTTCTGCCCCCTGAATGGCCTCTGTGTACCGCCTTGGCTTTGGCCCGTAGCTTCAGTCCCATTCTCCGAGATATCCCTGAGTCCCACCCTTTGCTCCTGGGTAATCCTTCCCAGGGTTCTGTCTTCAAAACTTGTCTTACCACTTTTCTCTGCAGCTATCCCCTTTTTGTCATCTTTGTCTTTGGAATTTTTCTTGTCATTTCAGTAGAGTTTCGAGAGGGAACTTAGAGGTAAAGGTACATGTTTCACCAGGGGCTTCTGTTACTCTTTGTGGTCTTTGCCTAGCTTCTGTGCTGCGCCTTACTTTAATTATTTTCCCCCGCTGAATGAGTTCTTCCGAGGATTACTGTTTGTGGGTGGATACTGAGGAGTGGCCAGGCAGTGTTCTGAGTATTCCCTGAGCCCTTTCAGCCTCTGCTGGACCAGAGAGGAGCTCTTGAATGGCCTCTCCATCCCTCTGCTTTGCTTACTGGCTTCTTCAAAGATAGTGTGCCTGAGCAGCCCTCCCTCCCTCTTCCGTGGTCCGGTCCAGATCCAGAGTAGTTCGGTCCCCGGTCCCCGCGCTCAGGTTTCCTTGTACCAAGGTGAGAGCTCAGTCTTGCCCCAGGGACGTTCCATCTCGGTGTGGACCGCTCTTCTCTTGTGTCCTTCCTGTGTCTTCCTCCCTCCTGGCAGATCATTCCTGTCTCTGGCAGTGCTTTCCCATATATTGGGGTCAGAGCCATAGGTGATGCAGTATTTGCAGAGATGGAGTATGAGTTTTTCTTTCCCGTTTTTGATGATTTCTAAAAAGGCAAGAGTCTATTTTGCCATACCTTACCGGAAGTGTGCTCTCATTGATTCCATAGTGACTTTTACCAGCTTCTGTGTCAAAAGTGAGCTTTTCCTTATGTTGCTCTTTCACAGAAAAACTTAATACATTGAAATTATGGTGACACGATACCAGAGTCTTTCTTACTTAATTTCTGCTTTATGTTTTTAGGCAGGATCCACCAACATGCTCTCAGCCAGACAGTGATGATGAAGCAGAAGAAATACAGGTTGGTAGAAAATAAAACAGTCTGTTCAGTAGATGGTGCTAATTTCAGTGACCTCTGAAATGGTCTTGCTATTTAGATCTTACATTCAGTGAAGTGAGAAATCACACGAAAGTATTTCTTTGATGTGTATGTATACATATGCTCTGTGTTCAGGAAAAGATGTTTCTTCTTTATGAATCATTTCAGGTGATGTACTGCCTCTGGAATCCCAAGACGGTATTTATATTTAATGCTTTGTTTCTGTCCTCTTCTCCATGCAGTGGTCTGATGACGAGAACACAACCACACTTACGGTAAGAGCTCAGCAACAGCCACGTGGAGGCAGCCTTACACTGTCTTGCGAGACAGCCTCTGAGAAGTCCTGTGTCCCCACCACTGCTAGTGTCTTCCTGTTTGAGGCCTACCATTCATTCTGAAAAATACCTCGGCATTCTTCAACAGGCAAACGTGGTTTGCTCTTTGACTACAAAGGAGGCAAAGTGCGAATTTGCTGTTTTGGCTATTTCTGTTACACCCTGAAAGATAGAATGGAGCCAAATATAAACTCTAAAGTTCCAAGATTGATGGGAATCAAAGTGAAAAATTTGTATTTACTTATTCACGTATATTTAAATGGCATAAAATTGTAATTTCTTTCAAGAGCATAGTAGGTAACTTAAACCAGTGTTGTATATGAACAAGTTCTCCTGGTCCATCCATTTTCTTACAAATGACTCAAATTTATTCTTGATGGCTCAGTAGTACTCCATTGTGTATTTACATACCACATTTTCTTTATCCATTCATCTGTTGATTGACATACAGGCTGCTTCCATAATTTGGCTATTTTGATTTGTGAATGACCCAAAATATAAATTATTTAGAGAGCAAAATAAAAGTGAGATGGCAGGAAACAAAGAGTTAGACTCTGGGTATGGAAAGGGAATCAGGAAAGAAGGGAGGTGGTGGAGAAGAAGTGTAAAAATGATTAAGGTTCAGTACGTCCCAGTTCCCCAAGACAAATGCAAGCACTATGTCACAAACATACACTCATTTAAAATAAAATTAAAATGTGGAAAATGATCAGGCATATTGTAGCCTTGCTACTATAAAATTTTTAAAATATTTTTAAAATTGAAATATTTTCTAAAGATTAAGGCAAAAATTTTTGGTACTGGGAGTCGAACCCAGGATCTTTTACAACGCTAGGTAGGATCTTTACCACAGAGCTACACCCCCAGTCCCTGAAAATTTCTAAGATAGATAAATGAAACTCTTCATACCTTGAAATAAGAAAGGCTTTTTGTAAAATTCCTTACAAATGAATATAAAGGCAAATAAAAGGAAACTTGTTTTAGGGTAGGATTTATTGCAGTACAACTCTAAGAAGATACTTCTGTTTATTTTAAAGGAGGAGATAATTTTCTAGCAAGTGGGGATACCTAAAACTGGCATATTTCCTAGGTATAAAAAGTTAAATGTGCCGGGCCGGGGATATAGCTCAGTGGTTCCACCACCTGCCTCCCAAGCACAAGGTCCTGAGTTCGACCCCCGGTACCAAAAACAAAACAAAACAAAACAAAAAAGTTAAATGTGCCAAAAATACAGAAATGGATACCACACAGGTCAGTCCTTTTAAGAAAATTCCATTCAGTTCAGTATAAATGTTACTCATCTGCTGTACTCGTAGCACTAAACTGGGTTCTGTGAGGTAAACAAAAATGGATATAATTTCATTCTTGCCATTGAGGGTCTGTAAACCAGTGGGGAAGGTGACATAAGGTGGGAGGTAGATGACAGGGCTATCGTAACAGCACAGTTGTAGGTAAGGTCATCTAGAAATGCTTAAAGAAGTAGTATTTGCACCTTAAAAGGGGTAAGGATAATCAGTATCGACTCATGTTTTAAATATTATAGATGGATAAATACAGAAATTAATAATGTACTGTTTGTTTGTTTGGTACCGGGGATCGAACTCGGGTCCTTACACTTGCGAGGCAGGCGGCAGAACCACTGAGCTAAATCCCCGGCCCTAATAATGTAAATATGTGACTTAATCCACTCTTGCCACTGTAACAAAATACCTTTGACTGAATAATTTAGAAATCATAGAAATTTATTCTCACAGTTTGGGAGTCCAGGAAGTCCAAGATGGAGGCCACAGCAGATACAGGGTCAGGTGAGGGCTTGCTGTCTGCTCTAGGCCAGCGCTGCGTTACTACACCCTCATGCAACAGAAGGGGTAGAAGAGATGAAAGAGCCAGGCTGATCTCTGGAGTCTCTGCTGAGGGCATTCATGCCTCAAGGGCAGAGCTGTCCTGACTTATTCATTGCCCTAAAAGCCGTGCTCTTAACATCGCCACGGTGGTGATTGAGTTCCACTGTGAATTTGGAGGGACACAAACATTCAAACCAGAGCAGTAAGCAGGTGTGTATATTTTCCAGACTGAGCACTGAGAAGTGAAGGAATCAGTGCCAAACAATATGATAACAGTAAGCACGTCATGCCTGGTGCTGGTTTCTGAATATCGTCCCCCAGTTAAAGAAATTGAAGCTTCTTAAAGAAATTTAGAACTGAGGTTAGGAAAACAAAAATGAGCCCACAGAAGCGTATTGTGCCAGAAACTAAGGAAGGGTTCCAAAAATGTCAGGAACATAGGAGAAAGATCCCAGAAGCCAACTTGAATTAGCTAAAACCTCGTGGGTTTGCGCATCATAAATGATGAATTCACAATCCTATACTGACCTAAAAGAGTGATTAAATAAGTGGAGGAGAGAGGAAAGCCTTTCTTTAAAGTATGAAAGGCATTAGGGGCTGGGGATTTAGCTCAGTGGTTCTGCCACCTGCCTCATAAGTGCAAGGACCCAAATTCAATCCCTGGTACCAAAAAAAAAAAGTGTTAAAGGCACTAACTGATAAAATTTAGAAACAGCGATGGAATCAGAAATCACCATTTGGCAACTAGCCTGGTAATAACTGATTGAATACCTTTTAAAACCAATGAATGAATATTTAATGAGGAAGAGGATATTTACATAATCTCAAAGTGTCTCCATCCGGATTACTTGCTGACTGCAAAAGGAAAACTGGTGACTTTGCGGCGGAAAGACCTGGCTGCCAGCTGACCAGCGCTCTGGGACAGACCTCCATCCTGTGCTTCCTGATGCACAGCACGGGGAAGATGCGTCCCTTGCACCCAGTCCCCTCGCACTGAGCAGCTGGTGGTGTGGAAGCAGCCAGCAAAGTCAGCCTTTTAGAAATTATACAGCATAACTGCCTCCTGTGTACGCTTCAAAGATATCAAGCCAGGGCCAGGGATGTAGCTCAGTGGCACTGCACCTGCCACACAAGCGCGAGGTCCCGAGTTTGATCCCTGGTACCAAAAAACAAACTGCTTAGAAATGTTTGCTTGTTTTGCCGAATACTTACAGAACAACTTACTCACAATCCAAGGTTTGGCTTTATTTTGGAATGTTTAGTTAATTGTAGACCTAGTCTAATTTTTTTCCCCTATCAAAGTGGATTGCTGGATTTTTTTTTTTTTCGGAATTTGCAGTTGGGCAATAGGGGACAGCAGTTCCCTCTGTAGGGGTAATGCAGTTAAACTCTTAGGCAGGGAATTTATGTTAGTGTTTTTGTCCTGTCTCTCCTGAAAGCTCCACTTTCACCTCTCTTCCTCTTTTTCTCCAGCTTTTCTCCGTGAGCTCCTTTAATAACTCATATTTGCTGTTTAACAACCGTATTTTCTGTTACTTCTTGGTTGAAATGCATACTTAGAATGTTTCTGTTACTTGCTTGTATAAAGTACACATTTTTAAATGAACCAAAATGGACCAAGTTCTTATTTTTGAGTTTGGTTTATAGTAAAGCTTGCCTAGCAATGGCAGAGTTTAAATGCACTTTACTATATCAGTTTTCGTTCTCACGAAGTGTTTTGGTCCTGTGTCCAAGACTCTTCTGTATGCAGGAGAACGTCCAGCTCTTGAAGGATGAAGTGTTACTTCTGAGACTTGGAGTACGTGCACAGGAGATGTGCCTGTCTCTCTGCGCAATAGATACCAGCCTGTCGTAGGTACACAGAATGAGCTGGTTCATTCCTTCCTCACATGCTTGGAGCCTGTGACATCTGACATTTTAGATTGTGGGGTTTGATTGTTTTGAGGAGTCCCATTTTAGCAGTTATTTTATTTCTCTTGCTGGTAAATATTTTTGATCCCTGATTGTATTTAATTGACTTCATAAATTCAGATAGTAAATTACAACCTTGAGGTTTGGATCATGTTTTCCATGTTTACTGTGATATAACATTGACTTGCCCCATTGATTTTCTTTTTTCTCTGTAGGCACCCGAATTTCCGGAGTTCACCACCCAAGTCCAGGAAGCTATCGATTCCCTGGGGGGCAGTGTCTTCCCTAAGCTTAACTGGAGTGCCCCAAGGGTAGGATGACAGAAGTAACTCACTACTCCTGTTGTCTTTATTTTGTTTTCAATTTCATTCTATATTCCCACTGAGAGGCTCTGATTGGACCTAATTGTAGGAAGAAAGCTGTGGAATTTATTATTATTTATCTATTATCTTATTTTTCTGATTTTGTTGTGCACTTTCTGGGGGCTGTGAAATACTATATATTCTGCCAAAAGGCCATCTTGACCTCTTGTGTTGCTGTTGGTTGCACTAGGAGTCTGAAGTTCATTTTCTGCCCTTTTTAAAACTTCCATCTATTTAATTTAACAAAGAATTTTTCTGTTGAAAAATAATATTAAAAATGTCACAGTGTATAATTTGAGAAATCAGCTGATATTTTCTTAAATTGTGTTTTCTTATTTTAACACCCCATTGATAGTAATTTTGCAGAAATTAAGCCCTGTGGGGGGGTTCTCACTTTTTTTTTAATCCAATAGAGGACAGTTTCATGTCAGCAAAGCTTATTTAAGAAATGAAAGGCTAGCAGGCATCGTAGCTCACTCCTGCCAGTAGCCTCAGTAGCTCCAGAGCCTTAGGGAGGAGGATCACAAGTTTGAGCCCAGCCTGGGCAACTTCGACCCTGTCTCACAATAAAAGTAATAAAAGGTGCTGGGGATGTAACTCAGTGTAAAGACCCTGGGTTCAGTCCCCAGTACAAAAGAAGAGAGGGAAGGAGGGCTTCTTTGCATTTCCAAAAGTCATCACATGCCTTTCTTTTTATTCTAAAATGAACTTCTGTGTAATCTAATTTTGAGTTTCACTTTTTAAAATTAGTTATACATGTACATAAATTTAAATTCTTTAAATACTTGCTACAGAAATCAGCAGGTTCTGGCCCCTGTTTCACATCACCATTTCCTGCTCTCCAGAGGCCACCACCACTTTCAAATATTTTTGTCCTTTTTTTTTGAAACGGTATTGCCCAGGCTGGCCTTAAACTTAGCATTCTCCTGTCTCAGCCTCCCAAGTAGCTGTGAGGCATGGACCACCACTCCCAGCAATGTAAGCAGTAGTTTTAATCATTCTTTGAGGCTTTGCACAGAGTATTTGTGATTGTAAGCTATTCATTTGTTATTTACTGAGTGCCTTCTATATGGCTATATGGCGGCATTTTCTCCATGTAGCGTAGATAGTTTTCTTTATGCTCATTCATTTTCTCAGAAATATATTACTGTCCTGCCTCTTATTGATCTACTGGAGGGGGGGGGTTCTATAAATGACGTTATCTTGTCATTTTTATGCATGTTCCACTCAGCTTTGTACCAGATTCTCTTCCTTTTTTCATGTTGTTGTTCATATGTCTGAGACATTTCAGCACTTTAAGTTGTAAGGTTTCAGAGTATCACACTTATTTTCCTCCTGGATTTGACAGACATAGGTCTCATCTGTCCCCATCATCCGAGTGCAGATGTTTGGCTGCCGCTCTCCAGAAGCAGGAAGTGATTTATTTTATTCTCGGGGAGCAGCTAGTCAGGCTGCTTCTTTACCACATTAACCTTTTAGCTGAAGTGTGTTTCTTATATTTGTTTCCCTCTTCTTCCAACATAAGAAAAACACTGGGAAGTACTTGGGTCCAGGCTAAAATATGAGGACCCTACTATGTCAGTGTTCATAACTGAGTGTCTTCCATGCAATGGTCACACTCTTTGTTATTGAAAAGTGTATTTTGATGTTTGACAGCATTACTAAAGTTTATCTGAGAGTTTTGTTTTAAGCCTTGAAGTGAGAGGCATCTTTTATTTCATTCATAGGCCCAAGCTTCATGCATAGGCAGTAATTCGGCGTTCTGCTAAACAGCATGTGCTCTGTTGTCTAGGACGCCTACTGGATAGCAATGAACAGTTCTCTGAAGTGCAAGACCCTCAGTGACATCTTCCTGCTTTTCAAGAGTTCTGACTTCATCACTCGGGACTTCACTCAGCCGTAAGTATCTCTTGTTCCCGCAGTGTCAGTAATTTGCTGTGTGAATTTTTCTGTTGGTAAAATTTCATTAGTTCTAGTACTGTTATGAACATTTCTTTATTATAAAAGTGTTTCCTGTTCCCAAAATAACCTAGTAAAGCAGACCTTACTTTCTGTTACAGTAAAAGCTGTACAGTGAATATTCCTAAATATCAAGGCCTTCATATTTGCACATTACTTTTTTTTTGCACATTAAATATTTTAGTTCTTTTTTCTTATTATAAAACCAGTATATGTTGTAAAACAAATTTAGGATCTATAGCTAAACAAAACTAGGAAATATAAAAGCACTCATGTTCTCCCCACAATTGGCTACATACTTCCAGAATTCTGTGCACAACTATAATACAAATATACCTGCCTCTATCTCTATAAGATTTCAAAAAAAGAGATCGTAAAGATCGTTTCACTCAGTTACTTTTCTCATTGCTGAGACAAAATACCCAACACCCAAAGTTAAAGGAGGGAAGGTTTATTTGGCTCACAGTTTGTAGAGGTTTCAGTCCATAGTCAGCTGGCTCCAAGGCAGGGTGGCATCAAAGAGGAGAAACAGTTCATGGCAAAGCAGGGCAGGCAAAAGGCAGCAAGCAAGTGACAAGTGATTATACTAGCTCTCTTTCTGTCCCTTATATTTTATCCAGGCTGCCCACCCTTTCGGTAGGTAACACACCCAGGGTGAGGTACCTTTAATTCTAGAAAGAACTATGCCAAGTCAGTCAGTGGACTAATTTAGTAATCACACACCCTTAATCCCAGCATCACACACCCTAGATCCAGCCGCCTCTGAAAAAGCCCCACCTATGATTACATGAGGCTTTGGGGGCCATCTAGACACTGCCATAACAATGCATTTGCATTTGCCAGTGTATGGTGACATTTTCACATGTCTTTAAATACATCAGTTTATGGTCAGTTTTCATTACCTTAGTGATATGCCCGTGGTTAGCAGTGGCATGATATGTTTGGTCAGTCCCCTTTTCTTCTATAAAGCCCTGCAGTTAATATCCATGAGCTAAATCACTGTTTGTGGCCCTAGTTTTTTCCTTAGGATAAATTTCCAGAAGTGGAAATTCTGCTTCCTTCCTTTGCCACTCACTGTAGCTAAAAATCCTGACCTTCCTTATTTGCTCTCAGGCAAACGGAACGCTCACTCTGTTGCAGGTGCCCCTTTGTGCTGCTTTTGTTCTTCTCTTCGTGTTCTCTTAGAGCATTTATCTCAGTTAAGCTGACCTTTAATCTGGCCTTTCAAATGAAGCATATCTCAAAGCCTAGATGCTAAGCAGAAGCAGGGAGAACATACCACCCATTCAGCCCGCCCTTGCCCATCCAGTTGCGTTTGCCTTGCCATTTCACCCCCTTTCGGCTGCAGGCCTCTTTTCAAATGGAGCCTGGCATGAGTTAACGAGTGGCGACTCTGCTCTGTTGTACCTGAGCCTGTAGCTTGGACATGCGGTTATAGTATTATGTTAATTAAAGAAAAGAGCTCTGTAGCCATCAAGGAGTGTGGTTGTGTTGCAAGTTTGTTGTAAAAGGCTTTTAAGGACAGTGTGTAGCTTCTGGTGGAGCATGTGTATACATGTACAGGGCCCAGGTTCAATCCCTAGAACAAGAAATATTAAAGGGGTTCTGCTTATTGGTATTTCTGGCTATAAAGAAAAGATCAAATATTGTTTTGACAGTATTAGCCTTTTGTGTGTTGTCACAGGTGTTCTTCAGTGTTGGTAGCCCTTGTTTTATTACCAGTGTGCTGACATTTTCATCCTAGGACTACCCTCTGATTAGAAGAAGGTCTTATCTTTTTTTCCATAAAGCTTTTTGACATCTAATGCTTTGAATAAAGAGGCCTAGCTCGGGATTTAGCTCAGTGGCACTGCGGCTGCCTCGAAAGCACAAGGTCCTGAGTTCAATCCCCAGTACAAAAAAAAAGTAGAAAGGAGGGAGGGAGGGAGCCTTGAAATATATTACACTAAAATCGTTCTGTTCCTGTGGATCCATCCAATAGGGACTTTTGTGTACCTTTAGTATCATTCAGTCAGGGCGTAAAGGCATCTTTAAGTGATTCAATTAAAAATCACTTTTAATTCTGAAGCTCATGATTTTTAGGGTTTTGTTTGTTTGTTTGTTTTTGGTACCAGGAATCAAACTTGGTACCTTGCCCTTGTGAGACAGGCAATGGAACCACTGAGCTAAATTCCCGCCCCAGCTTATGATTTTTTAAATCCACTTTGCGGTTTAGAAATCAACTTCCTCCATTTAGCCCACCTCTTCCTTTCTGTCTTAACTGATGTTCAGATGAACAGTAGAAATGAAAATCTGTTGTTTTGCATTTTGTATTGTTAGACTTTTGCATGAGAAGGAGTTTAACTCTGCAAGTGAATTTGAAGCCTTGGATTTGGAGGGTTGACCCACAAAAAGCTTGTATAAACAACTGGGCTCTGGCAGCAATATGTACCAAACATTAAACTTTGAGCCTCCTAGTTGAGCACTACTAACATGTCCCCCTTTTCTAGAAATATTCATTGGTGGTCAGTTGCATGGCAGTTAATAAGCCAGTTGCATAACAGCATCACATAAATAAATGTCATCCCATAAAAGTCCTTCTTGGTAGAAGTCAGTAAAGATGAACTTTTGTGGCTGGGGGTTACCTAGTAGAAAAGCACCTGCCTAGCATGTGAGAGGTGCTGGGTTTCGTCCTCAGCACCAAAAAAAAAAGAGAGAGAACTTTTGCCGCAGGACCTTATCAGAAGCTTTTAAAAGATTACATTAAGATATAATTGTTCAGATTGAATAGGATCGTATCAGTGATTTCACTTTACTCTTTTCTGCTGTTGGTTAGAAACCTGAGACTTAAAGCCATTCCATAATTGGTTCAGGGCTCCACAACTTGTTAGTTCAACCAAAACTATAATTTCAGTAACTCATTTGGAAAGTTCTTTGTACCTACACTTAATAAAGTTACAGATTCTTTCTTTTCAGAATGCTTCCAATTAAAATATGTAATTTTTTAAAACCACTGAAAATTATGGACAATACACATAAAGTATATAATGTTACTATATTACTTTGAGGCTTGTCTTGACGTAAAGAAAGAAACATACAAAAAGCCAGGTGAAAGTAGTTTACACATAGGGGGTTTATAACAATATATTATTCGATGGTGGCAGTAGCTCAGTTGTAGAGCATTTGCCTAGTATGCATGAGGCCCTAGGTTCAGTCCCCAGCTTGGAAGGAAGAAATGGAGGAAAGGAAGAAAATCTGAATAGTCTAAAAATATATTATTTAATAGGAATTTGGGGCCTCTTTTTAGAGTTGATTTAGCAGCTCCTAAGGTCACCAAGGAAAGTCTTTTAGTCTTTCTCCTCTGCCATCTTTGGCTGGTTGGCATGGTCTTTGGGTTTGTCATGATCACAAGATTGCTGCCACAGTTTCAGGATATACAACACAAAGACATGACAATAGCTGAACCTAAAATAAGAAGAACAAGTGTATGTCCTCTCAGATGCAAAAGTAAGCCATTTCTGTAAGCTTCCCAGGAGACTTCTCTCAGGGCTCTAGTCACATAGCCAGCCTAATCCAGGAGTCGACAGAGGGAACAGAATTGCATGATTTGCTAAGGCCAGGGGCTCGCAAATGGTAGCATGTATCCGAGTCATCTGCAGAGTTATATGAACATGGATTGCTGCCCCACCCCACCATGGGAGTTTCTGATTCAGTGGGTGGTATGGGGCCCAGCTTTGTCATTTCACCTGTCCCAGGTGATATGGTAGTGCAGGTCCAGGCCCGTGCCTTCAAGACTGCTTAGATCAATCAGGACATGCACCAGGATACCTGAGATGAACAACTTGAAAGAAGTTTACATTTGCTCACAGTTTTCAGATTTTCAGCTCATGGTTGATTGGGTCCTTTCCAGCCCTGTGGTGGCATAGGATATCATGGCGCACGTGTGTGTGGTGGAAGAGGCCTGCTCATCCCGTGGTGTCCAAGAAGCCAAGAGCAAGACAAGAAGAGCCAGGGTTCCCTTGTCCCTGTCAGGGGCAGACCCCCAATGACGTACTTTCCACTGGGCCCACCGACTGAAGTTCTGCCCCCTCCCAGTGATACTGTGGGTTTGGGACCAAGCCTGCAGAACATGGGCTTTTGAGGGACATTTCACGAGCGGGACTATAGCAGGAGGTGATCAGGAAGTGGAAGTGCCTGCAGTGTCAAGACAATCCAGAATCTGTTTGCAAGACTGAAGATGGGGAACAGCAAGCAAGGTCAGCCACAGCTGTCATTTGCTGTGAAATATTAAGTGCTGGTTTCATTTTTCCTATGCCTCAGATGGTTACTGTAGACAAGAAACTTTAAAAAGCACAGATTAGAATATAACACATATAATCAGTTTGCATTATACTTGCTGACCTGTACTTGCTGAGATATGGGCTGCTTTTATTGATTTTTTTTTCCCCCATTAAGTTTATTGGTACATTTTAGGTATACAATACAGTTACATTCATCATTGGGATCTGGTACCATTATATGAGTATCTTGGTTCTTATTTTTTTCCCCTTCCCCAGCCCTCCCTTCACCCCCTCCACCCTTCCCTATTTGCAAAGACTTTGTTTCCATTTTTTTCCTTTTCTCA